ACACACACACACACACACACACACACACACACACACACACACACACAAATGGACTCAATAGGTTCTGTTAAAATATAAAATATATTTTTTTTCTGAAAAAAAAAAAAGGCTATTAACTTGAGCCTTTGTTATGGTATGGTACCAAAGTATGGTAGCATGTGGGAGGCCTGAGGAAGCATAATTGGGAGGGTTTAACAACAAAAGGATGGGAGACTTTATGTGATTCTATTTCAACTAAAAACATAAGAAGAATTTTTTAAAAAAGATGTAGGAATTATTTTCCACAAACTTCCACCAGGTGCCAATGTTCTAGCTCTTCTTTATTTCGTTTTTAAATTTGTCTCCATGCATGAATATCATATACTATGATTAATTATTACCATTTTTCTAATATTTGTAAACCCTCAGTTATTCCTGAATTTATTTCTTAAGTGTTCTTTTTGTTAGGCCCCTCATTGTACATATAATGTATATTAGAGTAACATAAATATCTAGAGTATAGATTAGAATTGGTTTGAATCCGACTTCTCAGTTTATTAACTTGTCCTCCTGCTGTATCAATTTTATCATTTGCATCATCATAGAATGCCTTTAATGTGATGAAGATATGGAATCACTCCCAGTTGAGTATACAAATAAGTATGTGCTGTTTAGCCATGCATCTGTAACCATTTTGGTGGTTCTGTTCCATCTGTCGCTCATGTTTTCATCTGGACCATTCCCTTACCCAAGCCATGCTCTTCTGATAATACAAAAGCAACCCAATAACAAACAAATAATGCTGGCTAAAACATGTCCCAGGTAGATCTCAAAGATATCCACCCATTGTGCTTCTGTTTTAGCTGTTTTAATTTTCACATATAATACTTCTTCTTAATTCTCTGTTATTACTTTATCCCTTTAAATACATGGCACACTGTCATTTCTAATTATTTTGTTTATTATATTAAAGATTTTGCCTTAGCTACTATAATACTGTTGTTGCTCATTGGAATGTGTATCCTAGACGATATTTTTCTTTATAGAGGTTGTTTCTGTTATATTTGGTTTTGTGGCCAAGCTCTTAAAGAGCTTTTGGGAAGCAGGTAGGTAATAAAGGTCAGTGTAGAGACCCCAGCAGAGAGAGTAGAGCCTGTCACATTTTACATTAGATAAGCCAATAGCTATGAGGGTTTGACTGGAAAGGAGAGAGAAAGAGACATGATTAATTATTTCCCGGCTGCTTTCTTTAACTGTGTACCCACACCTGGGTTTTTTTTTTTTTTTACTGTTCTGACTTCACTACACTACATCCTGATGGCTAAAGTGGTTGTGATGAGTAGGATATTTCCTACAGTGAAATCATGTATTCGGGAACCACAGTTAATATTGTTCACCACTGCCTCTAGCCCTGCTCTTGGATCCATTGTGTTCTGCTGAGAGTGATGTCCAGTTAGGTATCCTGGACTCAAGTCAACTCACTGGTCATTGCTATGATTTTATTAATCATAATATGAACTGTCTGTATCCTGAATTTCTTACTTATATTTGAAAAGGCATCCCCCTCTCAGTATCTTCCCATGAAATGCTAATAGACAGGATGAGGTATTAGCAAAATGCTAAATAAATAAGTCTAAGTATTTAGAATCAATTGTAGGTTTGTGCACTTAAGGTTCAATGCTTCAGGTTTGCATTGCTGTTGGGGTTCCTACTACAGTTGCTTATAATTTAAAGTGACTTTCAGGAGCATCATAAATCAACTTGGTCTTTAAATATAAGGAACCCTGTGAATAGTGGAGAGAACCTTTTTATATTTCTTTTTCTGGCTCTTTCATTCTAATGCCAAATGTCATTGTAAAACAAATGAAATGCCGTTCTAAAATATTTATTAGATCCTCAAAGTGAAATACTGGTTAAGCTTCAGGAATAAATTTGATAAAATCTTTTACATATCACTAATATGGTTCTCATTCTTTTCTTTCTGAAGGTGTAAGCCTTGCTTTTACTCTAAAACACAGGAATTTTAATTGACAGATGAAACCTATGTGTGAAAATTATTTGTATCAGGCACAGCTATAGCAGAAATTCCTTGTACTAAGTCTGATTGCACCTTCACCTCTGCTTTCCAAGGACTTTGTTTTGATGAGGACCCATGAGTTCCTTTGTAGTCTACATGGAGAAGCCTCTGTTAGCAGCATGTTAGATAATAATGTGAACTTGTTTAACAAGAGTCTCCCTTTATTTTCAGATAATACTGATTGTATATAAAATCTATTCTGTTCATCCACACACTGAATACTATTAATCAAGTCTTTTTTTGCATATAAAGTAATATTTATTGAAAAAGGACTCTTCCCCCACTGGGGGGACAAAACAAACAAAAATAATAAAATGTGCAGGAAAAGCTCTCTTGACATCAACCCAATTCAATTCAATGGGTGGTTTGGTTTTGCTTTAACCCTAGGCCCCTTTCCCTGAGCATTCAGCCCCATAACTGCCCAGCTGTTTGTTTCCTTGTTCCAGTTCTTGTGTAGAACTGGCTTAAGACCTTAGCTGTCATTTGCTTGGTCCCCACACCCACCTAATAACAGTGGGACAGTCACACCCTCATCCCAGCTGCTCACCAACTCGTTCTCCTCTAACCCCCACTTTTCCATTCCTTGGACTCTAACCTAGTAGCTGGTCTGATTTGGTTTCCTTCATCCTACATTTCTGTTTTCAGGTTAGTCTGTTTCTCCTGCTTCCCTCTTTCCTCCAATAGAAGCTCTCAAAGCTAACCAGATCTCAGAGCCTCTGTTGAAAGCCAGGATACATGGATCTAGGCAAACCTGCCAGCAGAAACTTCTCCAGAAGTTGGCCGGTATCTTCTGTGGAAGAAAGGACTGGCTCTGATTGCTGACTGGATAATTTCTACTTAACGATCACCTTTCTGTGCTTGTGCTGAACCAAATCGGAATGCTTCTTGCCTGCCAAGTTCAAAGGATGAGCTCATTCTCATAGGCCACTTGGGAAGATGCTCAGGCAGGAATCTTATGAAGTACATGTGGCCTGAAAGACTGAAGGAACTCAGCAGTATACCCTTGGGAAATCATTCCCATGATGTGCGGCTATGACTGTAGCTGTTGCTATGACTGCTGTTGCTGCTGCTAGGATGGCTGTTGCTGGAGCTGCTACTGCTGCTGCTGCTGCTGCTATTGCTGCTGCTGTGGCTGCTGCTGCTGCTGGTGGTGGTGTGGCTGTTGCTGCTGCTACTGCTGGTGCTGTGGCTGCTGCTGCTGGGATGACTGTTGTTGCTGCTACTGCTGCTGCTGATGTGGCTATTGCTGTTGGGATAGCTGTTGCTGCTACTGCTGCTGCTGCTGTTGTCCATGTTACTAGGTCTAGGGCCACTTTTGTCTGTGCTACTAGGTCTGGGGCCATTGTTGCTGTGGCTACTGCTGCTGCCAGTGTTACTAGGTCTGCTGCTGCTGCTGCTGCTGCTGCTGCTGCTGCTGCTGCTGCTGCTGCTGCTGCCGCTGCCTGTGTTACTATGTCTGGGGCCACCTTTGCCCATGTTACTATGTCTGGGGCCACCGTTGCCTGTGTTACTATGTCTGGGGCCACCTTTGCCCATGTTACTATGTCTGGGGCCACCGTTGCCTGTGTTACTAGGTCTGGGGCCACTGTTGCCATGGCTGCTGCTGCTGCTGCTGCTGCTCCTGCCTGTGTTATTAGGTCTGATGGTGCTGCTGGTGCTGCTGCTGCCTGTGTTACTAGGTCTGCTGCTGCTGCCTGTGTTACTAGGTCTGCTGCTGCTGCTGCTGCCTGTGTTACTAGGTCTGCTGCTGCTGCTGCTGCTGCCTGTGTTACTAGGTCTGCTGCTGCCTGTGTTACTAGGTCTACTGCTGCTGCTGCCTGTGTTACTAGGTCTGCTGCTGCCGCCGCCTGTGTTACTAGGTCTTCTGCTGCTGCTGCTGCTGCTGCTGCTGCTGCTGCTGCTGCTGCCTGTGTAACTAGGTCTAGGGCCACTGTTGCCATGGGTACTGCTGCTGCCTGTGTTACTAGTTCTGCTGCTTCTGCTGCTGCTGTTGTCTGTTACTGGATCTGGGGCTGCTGTTGCTTTGGCTGCTGCTGCCGCCTGTGTTACTAGTTCTTCTGCTGCTGCTGTTGCTGCTAGAGGGGCTGCTGCTGCTGCTGCTGCTGCGGCTGCTGTTTTGGCGGTGGCTAAAAGTGTTGTCCATCATCCAGAGAAGTCAGGGCAGGAGGTACCTGGAGGCAGGAACCAATGCAGAGCTCATGGAGGAGCTTCTCACAGGCTTGTTCCTTAATCAAGTCTTGATAGAGAATTTCATGCGGACACAAGAGTAACCTTTGTGTCGAGGTCTCACAGAGGAAATGGTTCTTAAGTAGTGACAACTGGTGAATGTCCATGATGTCATGTGTCATAAAAATGGTTTAGTCTGAGTCTAGAATGGTCATCCTTCCAGAACACTTTGGTGTCGTTATAATTCCCTCCCTTTCAGTTGAAGTGGAGAGTACATACATAATAGGAAGGGGAGGATACAGTAAGGTCCATTACAACCCAGCATAGAAAGCCAAGAGTGCTATGAACACAGAAATGGATGAGAAATGAGTATACATGGTTTAAACCTCATTGAGACATGTTTAAAATGGGGACATTTTCTGTAAGAATCCCAAAAGACAAGTATGTATCCACAACAATACAAACAGAAAAGACATAAGGTAGGGAAGTAATAAAAGTATTGAATGGATCAAAGATCAGAAAAGGGCAGGTGCTGTAACCTAAAGATCCATGAGAAGTTCAGGGAAGAGAAAATGGAGGAAAATGGTTTTCCTCTCCCTGAAAGGAACACTAATTGTGTTGCCAGTGTCAGAATGCAAATAATGCATCCTGGGCAGCCAGTGTGTAACTTGTAGGCCAGTCCTAGCATCATAGTCAGGGCTCTTAGATGAGTAATGTTTGATGCGGATAGCTGTTTAAATTCCTGATAAGTCCTCATGCCTAGAATCATGCTGCATGTGATTTTGTCTCAGATCTACTCCAGAGACACCGGTAGAGAAGGGTATAGGAAATAGGAAGGAACTCGGGGTTTATGACTGCCCCTATTGCTTTCTATTCCATACTTTACTAGTCAGACAGATAATAAAATTAAAAGCGAACAAGTGGGTAAATCTGGGATACATAGATTTTTAGAGTTTTGCCAGTAGTATAGTTTTGAGAGCCAACTCCTAGCAGAAAATGGCTATCATCTTTGTAGCCATTTCAGGCCATATATCCTGACAAAAGACTTGTTTTTCAACAGCCCACAACAGCTGAGCACACACTGATAAACATCTTGTTTTTCTCCCATATCTTGTTTTGCTGTTTAATGCCTCCAGCTGCAAGGCACACATGGTAAAGTGTCTTCAGCTGTGTTCCCTGCTTGTGCTTATAAATGCCCAGGATTTCCTTTCAATAAATGGAACTTGAACAGACTCTCTGCCTTGTTTCCATCTCCACTCTCTCTCTTGCTAGATCCTCTTGACTGACCTGAGCAGACCGGATCAGTATAGTAGAACCTGTTATATAAGAGGTCAATTATCAGACTTCTATTGCTGTAACAAAGTACCTAGGAGCAGTAATTTCAGGGATGAGAGAGAGTTTCTGTGCATAGTTTCACAGGCTCCAGGTAGGGAAAGTATAGCCTGTCTGAGCAGCTCAGATCCTGGCAGAGGAATCAGAGGAAGAGGATGTGTGTGTCAGCAAGCTCTCTCCTTTCTCTCCTTTATTCCACATAGGTATTCATGATTTGGAATGGCACCTCAAATACACATTCGCTATATATTATTTCCCCTTTGTTAATTACACACACACACACACACACACACACACACACACACACACACACACACAGCAGAGTGGTATGCCTTAGTTATCGTCCAGGTGATTCTCATTCAAACTAAGTTGTTACTCAAAATTAACCACCACAGACTACAGATGGTTTCAAGGTCAGCATGTAAATTCTAAATAATGTACCTGTCTGGCTACCAGGATCCCACACAATCTTCTATCCATTGTCTTTAAAACTATTACTCAAAATCACATACAGTCAAATGAAGTAGCCCCTTGTTTTCCCAAACCTATTCCTCAATGGAATTTTTATCACATGCTACCAGAAGTTAATTAAGTTACTGTAATGCCAATCAAAGCCACAGCTTACTAGATATCTGTTTTCTACTGCTAATAAAGAGATCACTCTTCTCAACCCAGAGATCAGTGGATCAATACTGGAATGCCAGCTTTGAGGATACTTCCTACAATGACAGCTGGCCTCAAATGCTATACAATTCAGGGTCTTTAAAGGAAGTAAACACATAGATACTCCATGTGGACAGTACTTAATCTAAGGAAAAGCTTCAAAAAAAATCATTAGAGCTGAAAAGAATGAAAATGGGAAGATCAGGGTAGCCTAAAACTTGACAATATGAAAAAACTGCTTCCATGTACAGATACCAACACAGAAGGGAGACGATGCTGGAAAAGGAGTATTTGTGTGTGTGTGTGTGTGTGTGTGTGTGTGTGTGTGTGTGTGTGTGAGAGAGAGAGAGAGAGAGAGAGAGAGAGAGAGAGAGAGAGAGAGAGCGAGAGAGTGGGCTGGGAGGAGAGGAGGGGGCAGGCTGTGAATGGTCTGTAAAGTGATTAAATAAATAAATAAATGAGGGAAAAAGAGTCTGAAATATTCAGTTCTAGGAATTAAAAGGTTTTTTTTTTTTTTTATTTCTTCTTGTACATGGCAACGCAAAAGGACAAGAGTCCCAAAAGCAGGCATTTTGATATGGTTTGTGCTTCATCTTACTGAATGTAATCCAGTCCTTATAGCTTGCCTAGCTATAAGAGAGGACAGTTGAGACACTATAGCCCCCATATTGGAGCCCTCATGCTTTTCTGCATTGTGTAATGATTATCCTTATGTTATTCAAATGCTGACTTCTCTGCTCCTGTATCTTGTTGCAATACAGACATGACATTGTAATGCTTATTCTGAGTACCTCCTTTTTTCAAGTTTATGTAAACATTGCTCCCAATTTATTCTCAGACTTGTCAATAAAAGCTGTTCAGCCAGTGCCTCAGCAGTAGAGAGAACAGAACTGGACTTCCACAAGCCAGGGGTGGGGTAGAGAGAAAATTTCATGCAAAAATGCATGGAGCAGAGAGAGTCAGATCATTACTAAAATGTAAGTACCAAGTACCTAGGGGATTTTGGCTAGGAGGTAGCTAGATTAGCTTAGAGGATTAGGATGGATCAATGACTGCTCAATTATTATGCCAAAAAGCTTATCAAATGATTCTTATAGTCTCTGTCTTATTTATATGGGAGTTAGCCAGGATAGAGAAAAGATTATCACTTTAAAAATGCTTTTACAATTACCTTCATACATTCCAGGAAGTTTCCACTATAGTAGGTTTCCAGACCACCCCCAAATCTTTCCCAATTACAGCTGTCTCTCCTTGCACTTTCTCCTTCCACTCAATCTACCTTCCTACTCACAGTAACCCCCCCATCCCACCTTACCCTAGTTTACCCATGAAGTCATTTCTAAGTCCCCCTCCTAGAGAGATTCATGTGTCTCCTCTAGACCCCTCTTCTTTATCTAACCTCTCTGAATCTACAAATTGTAGCTTGGTTATTATTTACTTAACAGATACTTCTATTAGCATGTGTTAATATAAGTTATGCAGCATAACATCTGTTAACAGTGGATATTTATGAATGAATTTGTACCATCTTTCTTGTCCATCATCAGAACACTGAAAACACAGGCACTAAGAGCAACAATTAATAAACGGTGTTCTATTATACTTATTTTTAAGTTCTTAGCACCTGATAAGTAAATGTTAGCTGGTTCATATTTAATAAAAATATAAGTTGAACATTTGTGGTACTTCATGTACTAGGATACTTTCTTAGGTTAAGATAGGTGATGCTGAACTTTGATAAACAACCATGCATTTGTGATTCAGGGCAACAAGTCATGAGACTTTTGACACATTGGCTGTCTTCTGAGTTTCTGCTTCCCAGTAATAAAAAAGTAGGCTATTTACAAAGGTACATTTGATCCTTTCTGAGAACAGAGTACAGAAGTTTATAACGTATTGTCATGAATCAGCTTTAATTTGTGATGGAATTAGAGCACTTTCCTACAGGAAACCTCTGTGTTCATTGATCCCAATAAAATATCATATATTTAGACTGACTTTCAGATTTTAAGGACAAGAAGAGAAGTTACAGAATGTTGAGGTACATGACTCATATAAAGAATATTCTTGGAAACTAGAATGTCTACAAACACCCAAACCTTTAGAAATTTTAATTTAAAAATAGACTTTGTGATTGAAAACAGAAAAGAAGTCATGAAACTTGTATACTCAGTCTTTTTCCTTCTGTTTATGGCTCAATTTCCAGTCATTTCTATATCATAGAGGATAAAGGCAAATTAAAAATTATGGAGAACTAATCATTTGGATGTGCTGTTCTGTGAAAATGACAACCCCATTCTTTTTTCTGGAACAATTTATGTGACATAAAGAGAAAAAAGCAGCCCTAGAAACAGATGAAGGATGAGTTGTCAAGAAAGATTTGATTTTCAAATACACAGAGGTGATAAGTGATGAAATCAAGGATGGACTTGCTTACAGGTATAAGAAGAGTGGGAAACAGAAAATTGGATTTGGGAGAAGTGCCCAGGTGGAGGCTAGGAAAGGGAATGAGGTCCTTGTGCAGTATCAAGTGGCTGAGCAGCTGTGCTTGAAGGTTAGAAGATGAAGTTTGGGGATGATGAGGAGGCCAATGAGGCACTTCAGGAGAGAGTGGGTGTTAAATAGTCTGAAATGAAAAAAAATCAAGGAGAATGAGGATTGAAAAATACACCATTAGATTTGGTAAGAAGTAGGTCATTCCTTTATTTCCCAGGGCATTTTGGGGATGAACCTGCTTTCTGATTCTCTCCAGGTGAGCACTGAGGGCCAGTTATGATTTAAGCTGACTTTTCCGGGACACTTTTAAAAATAGAAAATGTAGGTTCAAGTAGAGAATGTGATGAATAATGAAATAGATAAACATGCTCTCACCAGAGTGGTGTCATGGTGCTATTTACAAGAACTTGGTGTTTTATTTTTTTGTTTTTCTTTTTATTTAAAGATGAAGGGATAATGAGACAAATCAGGACATTTACTTTTATACAG